TCCTTCATTTAAAATGAGAACAGAAAAAAATCACAGCCCTATTAGTAGGAACGAAGAGATGTTAAGGAAGGAGCATTGTCTGCCTGAATTTCATTTGTGACTCTCTTTGATTGTTACTGACTGAACAACTATCATCAAGTTTTTAGTCTGGTACATCTGACCTTTCAAAGAGATATTTTGCAGCCTAGCTCACACCTTTAACCCCAGTGTTAAGGAGGCTGAAGCAGGAGGATTGCTGTGAGTTCAAGGCCTGACCCAGCTGTTTAGTCAATTCAAGGCCAGCCTGAACTATGTAGTGAGACCCTGTCCCAAACCAAAAGAAAAAGGAAAGGAGTCTTGCAAAAAAAAAAAAAAAATGTAGTGAAAACACTTAAAGATATTTGTGTGGACAAAGATTTTTTTATATGAACCTAAAAGCACAGGTAACAAAATCAAAAAGTAACAAGTAGGGTTAACAAATAAAACAACCAACAGAGTGAAGAGACGGCTTAATGAGAAAAAATATTTGCCAATTCAAGTGTGTGTGTCTGTGTGTATGTGTGACAGAGAGCAAGAAGGAAGAGGAGGAGGAAGCAGGAGGGGAAGGAAGAGGTGGAAGAAGAGGAAAGAAAAAGGAAAAAGAGAAGGAGAAGAAGAGGAAGAGAAATCCAATTAGAAAAATGGGCAAATGGCAGTAGGGGTTGGCCAAGGGACAGGGGGAAGGAAGAGGGGCTGGGATAAATGACCTGAAAAGACGTCCCTCCAAAAAGAATATACACATGATGAAAAAGGGTGAGAAAACGCTCAATATCAGTTATCATCTGGGAAATACAATCCAGAATCAATGCAGCATCTCACCCCAGTTTGAATGACTCTTTTCAAAAAGACCAAAAGTGAAAAATGCTAGTGAGGAAGCCGAGAAAGGAGAACTCACACATTGTTGGTGAGAGTGTAATTCAATACAGTCATTGTGACAAACTGTATCAAGTTTCCTCAGAAAACCTAGAAAGAGAACTACCATATGATCCAGCAGTCCTTCCACTGGGTATATATCCAAAGAAATTGAAATCGGTATGTCAGAGAGACATCTGCATGTGCGTGTTTATTATAGCACTATTCACAGTAGCCTAGGTCCACAATCAACCTAGGGGTTCATTCACACATGGATGCGTGGATAAAGAATCCTAACCATAAACAAGAATGAATGTCTAATATTTGCAGAAACACGAATAATACAGGAGGAAAGTAAATGAAATAAGCCAGGCATGGAAAGACAAATACGACACATTCCCTAACATGTAAATGCTAAAATGTTGATCTCAGAGAAGTACACAGCAAAGTAGTAGTTACCAGAGCCTGGGAAGGGATTGGGGCAAGAAACCAGAGAGAGGATAGTTAACAGGTACAGGAACATAGGTGGACAGGAGGAATGACTCATAATGTTTCATTGCACAGCGTGTAGGATAACTGTGGTTGACAATAACTAAGGGAATATTTGAAAATAGTAGAAGGGATTTTGAATGTTCCTAATACAAAGAAATGATAAATGTCTAAGGTGATAGATGATAAATTAGAATGATTTACCTTTCTAATCATTGCATATTGTGTGTGCGTATTTAAATATCACACTGTACCACCTAAATATCCACAAGTACTATGTGTCAGTTAAAAATAAAGTACCTTCTAGAGTGAGTTACAGGTATTCTTCCTGCTACTTTGCTTTTCCTTACACTCCAACTTTAGCTGAGACCTTAAAGATCACAATTCGTTTTGGGGGGAAAATATGAGCATCACCTCTTCTTTGAAATGACTGAAAATAAACCCAACCAAAGAAGAGTTACGGCGAAGTATGACCTTCCTACTCCCCCGAAAGAGAATACAATGAGAAATCAATGGAAAAAGGACATTTAAAGCCATGTTTATTCCCATTTCTCCCCTTGGTTTCACAGAGAGGTGTTTTTCTTTATTCAAGACAATTTTATCTGGTCCCAAAGCATGTGTCAAAGGATTTACATGTTTGGGTGAACCTGTAATCCTACAATGATATGACTGAAATCAGTGTTTGCTTGAGTGGTTCTGAGATTGAAAATTTCTTTTCCTGAAATATTTTGAAGATGCATGTTTGATATAGGTTGAGTAAAAGCCTCAGAGAATAGGAAAAAATTAAAGCTATATATATTACTGGGGTTTATAGCTTTTACCCCTTTAAGCCTTTCTTTTTCTTTCTTTCTTTCTTTCTTTCTTTCTTTCTTTCTTTCTTTCTTTCTTTCTTTCTTTCTTTCTTTCTTTCTTTCTTTCTCTTTCTTTCTCTTCTTTCTTTCTTTCTTTCTTTCTTTCTCTTTCTTTCTCTTCTTTCTTTCTTTCTTTCTTATCATAAGAGGAACACAGCATTTGGAGACTTATCACAAAGGTTTCTTCCTCTTTGTTTCTCCTAACAACGAAGCAGCCCCTGTTTTCTTCCCCTGCCTCCTTTCACTGTCTCTTCCTCTGACCTGGTAACTCATACACACCCACACCTCTGCCCTTTATTTTTTGGCTGACAAACTGATTTAATTTATTTGAGACAGCAGCCTTGCAGCTAGAGCTGTAGAAAGTGTGGATGAGATGGTTTTTCCTTCACGTATTTTTCAAGTGATTGCTCTCAGTAGTATCACTTTCTTCAAAGATTGGTAGAAAACTTTCCCTGTCACCTTCTCTCCTTTGTCTCCTTGCACATCACCTCACAAAACTCCTTCAAGCTCTTTTCATTGTGCGAATTCTTCAGTTGCATGCAATACTATGCCCTACACCGGTTTCCTGAATCTAATTTTAAGCTGCATATAGATTATTTTACTAAATCTTGTTCTTATTGAGAGTAGTTTTTCCTTCATTTTAATCTTGCTCCCAAGGCAAAGTGGAGATAGATTAAGTAATAAATTCCTGGAATGAATAGGATTTTAGAACCAGTGTGTCCTTCGGATATATCTTATTCACTCTCCTGATTGCATGATGCAATTGTGCCAGATTGATGGCATTCTCTACTAGCCAATGTCCTTATTTGGTGTTCCTGTGGCCTTCTGAGATAACCCCTGCCATATAATTCTTTATTTTACTTTACTATTTCTTTATGAAGAATATATGTTTATTGGAATACATATCACTTTGTAATGCTTTCAGCCACAAGTAACACTACCTGATGAACAGTGGCTGAACACTTAAGGATATTTATGATTCATGCCTTAAGCATCCTGAGCTAATAAAGAGTCAAGGTTGGACCTAGCTCATTGAATCAAGAATTCAGGTTTTTTTGTTTTGTTTTGTTTTGTTTTTTGTCTTTCCATTTTCCCTCAGGCTTGGCATGTTGCCCTTTTGTTTTCATGCCTCTTGCCCCAAATCACAGAGTGGTAGCTTTGGAAAACATGCTCATGTGAAAGAAGAAGGGGCTAGCACTAGTGCCTTCTTTAAGGGCTGTCCCTCTTCTCGAAAAACAATGCCCCCAGAAGGAAGAACCCCAACCCCAAACTCCTCCATACCTCCTTGGTAACAACATCCAAGACCCGCCTTTGTGATAGGAGGGACATAAGAGAAAAAGTAGTACAGTGTAGCTTCTGATTGGCCAATCTCCAGTGTCTGTCAGAAGACACCCAATACATACGTTTATTTGCGTGTCTGTACTTCCATATCCATAAAGGAAATGTAGCTTGAAGGGCACGGGTCCTGGAACAACATCAGGTTCAAATCAAAGTTCTGTTTCCAGCTTCATTTTACTGTGAACTTCTCTGCTTGTGTGTCCTTACCTAAAACTGGAACAGTAATGTTACAAGTTGTATAGGATTGAAATAAATAGCTTCATGTTAGCATGTAGAGAGTCAGTACATGGCACCGTCATCATCCTGAACTCAGTACCCTTACCTGGATCCTGATCAAGCAATATGCAATGGCTAGAAGCTTCCCCTCTTTTGAGAAAGGCTGCACTTCAAAGTTACTAACTTAAAATTGACTAGAAAAATCCTTAAAAGATGTATGGTCTGAACAGAAATTTGCCTGTCTGCCTTTAGACGTTTTATAATTGACATGTTCTTTTGTTTAGAAATAAAACATTTTAGGCCTTTTATGAATTCTTCATGTGTGGAGGCAGCATGGTGAAAGACTTGCTTTGATTAGAATGTATCCAATCAAGAATGGGAGACAGTTTTCTTTAATTTGAAATATATATACACATGCACATACTTATTATATACATACACACAATAGTTCTATGCAAGTGACTTGGATAGAAACATTGTCAAAAACAGAACCAGTTAGGGCTAGAGAGAAGTCTTTGCAGTGTTCTTCTCAACGCTTAGAGAAAAGAGGCAAAAGGGAGTTCAGATGTTTGAATTGTGTAGATATTCGATAAATACTTGATGAAGGAAATTCTTTTGAATATGATAAGCATCAGAAAATAATTCGAAGTTCTGCAAACTTCATAATGTTCCTGGTAACTACTAAATATAGTAGCATGGGAGTGAAACATGGTTTACCCTTCAGAAAAGCAATGGAAGAAAATGGAGATCAGCTTTGGGACTGGTCTCTTAGGCCAGAGATGCACTCACCTTGAAAGGATCCTTCCAGTTGAGTCTACGTAGAGTTACAGGGAGTAGGAAAGAGAATAAATAACCATACCCAAGCTAGGTTCACACAAGCCCTAGGTCACATGGGGGAGGCTCAAGTGATGACAGTGTGAGCCGTTATAGCCACCCCATCACTGAACACCAGAGGACAAGGCTCCTCCATCTCAGACTCTCTTGTGCCATTACTTCCCCAAATAGCACAAACAATAACTAAAATGATAACTTCTCATCTGAATCACTTAATCAGCCTCCCGTAGCAGCTGCCTCTCAGCATGCCCAGTAAGTACCCAAATAATTTGTCAGTTCAGGAATGAAGTCAAGTGTTTCACAGCCGTTCAAGGTCTGCAGGCAGACAACATGACGTGTGCTGCCCATTTGCCTTTGCAAACTGCGTACTGACTACCATTCTTCTCTTGGCTTTGCCTCCAGAAAACCCGTTATGAAACTTATGTCAGCATTCTGAAAGAAGGAGGCAAGCAGCTCCTGAGTCACGATGAAAACGAGGCTGCTGGTCTGAAGAAATCACACTCTAGTCCTTCGCTGAACCCAGATTCCTCTCCGATCACCGCCAAGGTCAAGCGTAATGTGTCAGAGAGAAAGGACCACCGACCAGAAACACCGAGCATTAAACAAAAAGTTACTTAGAATCTGTCTGAGGCCAGGAAGTGCTGGTCATGGAGCAAAATAGGGGTTTTCAAGATCTTTCTGGTAATCCGTGAATATATTTAAAAAAAAAAGTCTGTGACTAAATGGTGCATTAGTAACTTTTTATATTGTATATTTTTGTTAGTTTCTGTACAGATTTGTCTTTGCTCTTGATTTCTTTGCTTTGATGATTTTTTTGCAATTTGATGACTAATGCACCTTTTTGTGAGGAGTTAGAGGATCATGATTTCAGAATGAATTCTACATCCCTTCTCCTTTGGTTTTTCTCTTATTTGCACTCTGCTCAGTTGTTTTATGTATTCTCAAATCAACCATTATCCTTTTTTTAAGGTTAAATAATTTAATCCATTGTGAAACACTTAACCGGACAAACTTCGTAGTTTAGTAAATTCTAGCCAGAGTTAACATAAGCCTTTATATGTGAAATCTTGCCCAGTCACGGAGGTGAAGCTGAATACTCACATATTTCAGTGAGAAATGCAGTGCTGGGAATCAAGATGTTCCAACATGAGGTAGCCCTGCGTGAACCTTAGCGCTTAGTGTTGAGTTCGAACCCTTCTGGAAGCAGGGGGAGAAGGTGTAAAGACCCAGGACTGGAGAACTTGGGGAAGAACAGGAGCTTGCTTGAAGTGTGGGTGCAGTTCCAGCCAAGCAAGGGGAAGAGGAAGTGGAGTCATTTTACCATCGAAGGCTGAGGACAGATGGATACCGAGTTAATTTTGTTTTCTGAAGGATAGTGGCAATAATTGGCTCCTGGGGTAGCTACAGCAATAGACTTGTGTTTAGTCTGCAGGAAATTGTTACTTCACTCCCACAGGGTCTAGACTGGGAATCCAGAATCATCTCTATCGTTGACACACTTGCACCCAGGAATAGCTTCTTTTTTATGCCACATATATATGTATATATATGAGGTCATCTCCTGGTTGTTAGGATATTGGGGTCTTCCTAACAAAATATGGAAAATGGAGCTCCTTTTGTTCTTTGCTTAAGCCAAGACAATACAAGGGAGCAAAAATCAGCTACAGTTGTTCAGCAGTGAATATTGTTTCTTGAGGCTAAATCGTAAGTAATAGTTTGAATGGGTTGTGGTTGAAAATGGAAGAATCGGCTGGTTGCGTATGCAGCGTTTCTTAGTTTATTTTTATCTCAGTCTCTCTGATAGCCACTTCACTCTGTCACTGTTAAACTTGCTCCTAAAAATTCTTTGTCTGTTCTAAATCATTTGTATGTTACTCAAAATAGTTCTCTCCACCTTACAGTCACAAGCTGTATCTGTGACAGCCCCTTTGAAATTCAGGGTGATGAACAGAATAATCTTTTCTAGAGGAGGAGACAGGAATGAAGGTTCAGTGCCCTGTGACTCAGAAGTCTCAGATTTCTAAACCTTGAAACTGATTTCCCTAAAGCTATCATCTTCCCAAACGACGCAGCTTCAAAGCTAATGGGATCATTCTGAATATTCTTTTTCCTCCCATGGACAATTTCCTCTACTTCTGCTTTGTTTTTTAGTTGAAGGTACTATGACCAAAGAATCAGCTGCTCTGCGTGACTAGCATAGTCCAAGTGGATTAAAGGAAACCTGCTATAAAACCATGGTATTTCTAGTGATGTATTGTTTTGATGTACTCACATTTAGTTACATGATTACTAATTAATGTTTACTTCCCCTATTCACGCGTCCATATTTGTTGGTGTACAGAAAAGTAACCCCTCTATAATGGTTGTAGCTGCATGCTTCATGGTATTTTACCACACCTTTGAAAAATGTACTCTATCCTCTACATTGTGTTGGTGAAGGCAATGTCTGAATTTATGTTTCAGAACTATGAAACACACTAGTTACCAATATAGCCCATATACCTGAATCGTTTTGGTAGCTTCTTATGAAGCCCAGAGTTTTCATAAGCAAGTTGCCTTTCTTCCTGAAATCTGAGTTATCAGTGTTTTCTGTCTAGATATTTATCCTAGTTTAGGGGAGAGAGAGGTACTTAGACCACATGACCTATGAGCTTCAGTAACTGATATCCCTGACTAGCTTGAATGTGTTTACCCACAGCATATATCTATGTATATAGAATGTTTATGTGTGTTTTACTTCAAGTATATAATGCATATTGACTGGTACCTTGCTGCAGTATTTCTGATGTTTAGAGTAGTCTTAAAATACTCGAATGGCATCAGCACCACCATAGCACTGGTCCTGATACAGGACTCATTGACTTTAGCTCCCAAGACTCCCAGACATGCTAATGGGTAGTCAGATGACAAGGGCACTTCTGAATTAGCAGTTAACAACTTTAAGGTTCTTTTGTGGGCCAGGATCCCAGACTGCCGGTCACAGGTCATGTGATGCTATCCATGTGCAGGAGATGGTCTGAAAACACCTCTTCCCTGAGGCCTCTGGAAGAAAGGTGTCTGCTACCAGTATGGGTTGCAGGCCAAGATTTATCCTGGGGCAGGAAATGAGTCTCTGATTCTACCGGCTTCTGAGAATCTGGTCTGTAGCCAGCCACTTTTTTCTGTTATGATCATTTCTTCTCAGTGGTTTATAGTCAAAAAGCTTTTCCTTTCGCAGCTGTGTTTAACCTTGTACAATTCACGGTACCGAGGAGCTGTCCTCCTCCTGCCCTTCTGAAGGTACCCCTCCGCACCCCTTCCCACCTCACTCCTCACCCCTACCTCAGAGCCCAGGGGCCTTGGAATTTCTCTGCATGTGGGAAATCATCATTCTTTTTCATACATATGCTTTCAGTATTACTTTTTAGTGTAGAAAATCTTGATAACTCCTCGAAATACCTTGTTACAAATTGACCAAGGAAGTGGCCCATATATAAAATCCTTTTGTATTTTGGGGTTTGCCACCACTTTCCATACTGGCTTTTGCATGGAGGTATCATGGACTTGTCATCAATCAAACTGAGTTACTAGCATATAGAGTCTTTCCAGATCATAGATGTTTTTGAAATGCAGATTTTTAAACCAGTTACTAAGACTTAAGTCTTGTCTAATCAAGACAAGCAATATTTTTGTGCATTTTAGTTAATCTCAGTAAAACCAACAAGTGAGTGACTCCTTTGGTTGCAGTAGTTCCTGGAGGATATGGAACATCTTCCATTGCTCTTGGGTAAAGCAAGTAGAAGGCATTTTCTCACGCAGCAGCAGTCTTGTCCTATCTGTAAGACCCTAGTTGCTTCTACCACTGGCATCATAATCCAGGAGGTGAGGACTGTACCCTACGCAGAAATGACAGCAGGAAATTAATTCTGGAACAGGAAAATCTGGCTGTCTTTTCAAAGACCAGTTAGGTTTGTATTTTGCCAGGTGACCAGACCGCTGAACTTCTAATGTTGGGAGAGAATTTGCATAACTAACAGAAAGAGGACTTTTGCTGCATAAGTACCAAGTTACACAGAGTTTTTGGCTGTCTTTTTGTACTGGCCCCCTTATGATCAAAGGCCTAAAAATCTGTTCTTGGATAAAACACAGCCCTGCTTTGCCCTGAACTGTGCCTCTTTTCTGCCTTTTTCCCCTAACCATTGGCAATGGGAAGAAAACTTTCTAGAAATCAGCTTCTTCCTTATCTTCTTGTCAAGACCTTTTTGAGTTCAGTTGATTGTCCTTAGAAATTGAATTCTTGGACATTTTTCCTTGTAATAATCACTTATTTCACTCAGCCTCAGTTCTCAGTAAGTTCCTTATGTATGCAGGTGCAAATCTCTGTAGTTTCAGTTCTTATGGACTCAGCTTGAGTTTTTAGCAAGTCCATAGCCACCTTTCTCAATTTAGCAGAGAATGATCCCTTTACTTTTTGAATAACAGAATTGTGTTTTCAGTTGTAAAACTAGCACTGTAAAATAAGAAACCAACATGGCATCCTAACACTTGTTTTTAAAAGTAGAGCCTACTTTATGAATAATATTATAAATTTGGACTTAATAGTATCTGCCTAAATAGATTAATGAGTTTTGTGGGCAGATGAGCCTCTGGGAGTGCCTTTCTCCAAATCTTTCTGCAATTTTGATCCATGCTAGGCTGCTGATCTCTTTCAAGGACAGAAAATTTCTCACTCTACCAGTCTTTGAACATCTTACATCATCAAATCATCCCAAGATTGTAGAGATAACCACAAAATAATCCTGTGATCAGTTATTGGTAGAGATACAGATGTACTTTGTCACTGCTTTTCTTTTTGGATTCCTTTTCCATCTCTTTTAAAAAAAAGGACTGAAGTCCAAGGTCACCCTCCTTTTATACCCACGGTATCCGGCCCCAGGCAGGCAGCCTTCTGCTTAGGACAGGAATTGGGCCATTGCATGCAGAGAGAATGTCTTCAGAGAATGTCAGTAAATACTTGAATCTGCATGCCAGTTTGTTGACTTGAATGCAACAGCAAGAAATAGGGCAAGTTAATTGTATATATAATAGTTTCCTTAGGTCTCTTGGCTCATCCTTTGTAATTTATGTGTGTATCTGCTGTACTGTAGGTTTTTGGAAATACTCGTACAGACAGAAATGTTGGATGTCAAAGATAATGCTTTCTGTCACATGCCAATGTTGTATTTGTGGGTATTTATAGTTGTACGTATGTATAAGCATCCGTGTGTAGATTGTGTGTCAGTATATGGTATATGTACATCCAAATCATTTTGTCTTTAATAACCAGTGTGATAGGAAAAGCAAGTAAAAAACCTCATAGGACTGATTATATAATGCAGTTGTTGAAAGTACACGTAGTGGTATTGCTTTATTCAACTTAAATTCAAATGATATTTTGATCAACTTTTAATGACTTTGTGCTAGGAAAATTCCATCTTTGAGGTGTGAATCACCAGGGCAAAAGTGACTTTGAACTAAATCATGTGGATCTGTTGAAGTGTATAGTCTGCAATACCTAGGGGGTAGCTCATTATAATTTTGGAAATGCAGAAAATTAAGGGGGGAAAGAAGGCAACCTGTGCAGTTTTAGTAACTTTAGTATTAAGAGCACTTAAACATAAAGTTGAACTGACAATTGTGGGCTTATTACAAAATGTGAAGCTTACAGCGCACATTCTTTATTGTTGTAATTAGTCCAGAACATAGAGCTTTCAGAAGAATCAAATAAGTTCCCACCATATAATGTATGTACCTATGTATATTTTACAGTAGCTCAAACCGCTCTCCTGGGTGCCGTATCCTTACCCTCTTGAAAGAAATATCATAAATGCTGAAGTATATCAGGGCATCCCAAGAAGGGGTACTGTATTCCAGGTTTGCAGTTGCACACATTGGCAACTGGTGTCACAGGTAAAAGGACTTTAGGAGCAGGTTGAAACTTTATTTAATATTTTTATACTTAAGTCTCTTTTTCCTGCCTCTCCCCAAAGAAGAGCCACTGGCCTTAGTTGTTTGACTTTATTGCATATATTATAGAGTGTAAATAGATAACTAGAGACTAAAATTTTATTAACCAGCATGTTTGGTGTATTTAAAGCAGCGACTGAGTGTGTCTGATTGTGTGGCTGAGTGTGGTGTCTTCTGTTCAGATACGCTGCCTCCTGTCTTTGTGTCTGATTCAGAGAACTGAAGCCGTGCAGTAGGAGTCTCATCTTCAGCTCCAGTCTGCAGTAGTGTCCTGGTAGTTACACTTAGTTTTTTAAATTAACTCTACAGTCTCAAAACTATTTTTGAAAATATATATCATATTTCCTAATTTCTTCTTGATGTGCAGGGGACTGGCTCTGTGGCTGATCTGCTAGCAGGGTCTTAGTTCTACAAGAGTATTTCCTTCTGAGAATTATTTGTGATTTGCAAAAAAAGAAAAAGCCTTTTGATTCAGAAATCATATGAAAAAGAGTGATAGGAATAAAAGCTTTATTTTGGGCTTTAGTTTTGAAATATTTGGATTTTACTGTAAAGCCATGTAGGCTGTAAAGCCAAGTAACCATTTGACATGGATAATAATATCTACGTTAGAAAGAGTATATATGCACATGGACTTTTTAATGCCGTTAAAATGCTTTTTTAGAGCTATAGAAACAATAATAATTAGACCAAATTGAAGTGGAGTGGGTGAGTAGGCTGCCTGCCATTGAGGCTAAGCTGTGAATGTGTTCAATCCTCTGCTCCTAAGAAATTCAGAACCAGTTTACTGGCCCTTAAAGATGTAGGGAGAAAGTTGATGAGTCTGGGCCCTCTTCTGTAAACACTTGCACCCAGTGAATGTTTTAAATTATACAAATGTAAGACTTTAAGAAACAAAGGGCCGAGGAATTATAAAGAGATGATGAACAAATGCGGAGAAACAACGTCACATGTTTTCTAAGGACCAAGGAGAAAATTGGGCTCTTTTGCCTGACTCTGAGATGTGTTGCATTGTTAACAGAGAAGCAGGGGTTACCTGTCACATTCCTCCTGGTGGACTACAACTTGAAGTCCAGGCAGTAAGTCACAGGCAGTAAGTAGCTCTCCAGCATCTCTCAGTACCTCAGTAGCCTAGGGGAAGACCCAGAAAACTGGTGTGCACCATTTTCCTAGGTACCGAAGCCGTTTGCTGTACAGGTCATTCCTTTAATAAGGACCACAAATGGACAAGCCAGGAAGCACTACACACAGAAGGGCACACAACCTTTCTGAGCTGTGCTGGTGAGAGCTCACACGAAAGGATGCTGGGTAGTAGAGCACTTTTCCATCAGCAAGGATAGTGAGGTGAGGAGTGAAAATGGCATTTCCCTTTGCAGGGTGGAGAGCTAAGCTCTCATTAACAGTGTTATAAAATAAGCACCTTAACTTCAATTCCTGAAAAGATTGGTTAATGGAGAGAATTTTGGAGTTTGGCCTAAAACTTTTCCTTAGTCTCCGAGCTCAACCACTCTTCGGAGAGTCTCAGCCACAAGGCTCAGTGAAGGACCATGGTGCAGGTCTGAGGCTCACTGCTGTGAACCCTGAATAGCAGGGCACCACAGAGGGAGACAATGTCCCCTCTCCGGAGCTTCTCTCCTGGCCTTCCGCTCCACGTGGGCTTCTACTGAGCAGCACATCCTGGGTTTCAGATGCTTTAGGAATCCAGCTGTCCCAATGGGTTGACCTGGCAGAGGCAAGACACCAACTCAGAGTCACTCAGGTTGGCACATGATAAAGGTAATGAAAACCATCCTCTGCCTGAAGCAAAGATCACAGATTTTGCCTTTGCGAGACAAACTGGCACCTTGGGCTCTACCCAGGGTTGGATGATATCTTTGCCTTCACACCTAGATTTCCAGAGATGAACAGTGTTTCATTTCTGTGGGAGGGGTTGAGAAACATGAACTTGCTCAGCCATTCTGCTCTGTCCAGATGAGAGCCGTCGGGTAAAGGCCTGCATGCCTCCCTGCACCCTCTTCTACCTCAAGTTTCAGAAGCCCAACTCTAGAACAGAAATTTACACAAGTGGAGAACCCATATTGTCAGCCTTGGTTACTCTGGGACATGCAGAAGGGTGGTGATTTGTATCTTGTAACATAAAAACAAGACTCTCACTTTTCCAACCCGTTCACTGGAGTGTATTCACATGGCTCTAAGTAATGGACAGCGTGGAGCACTCCTGTACCCTCAGTTCTCTCCTTCAGTCATTTCAGTTCCATTGCAGTCCTGGTGCCGTATGTCCCCTGCAAATTGTGAAAGTAATTAGTGACAAAACAGCAGCCTACTCCTTTGTAGGGGCCAAACTGTCAGCATTAGCAGACGTGGGTAAGCTAAGCTAGTGGTACCGTATTACGTACTAGAAACCTGTTCCTCATTATCACCTACCAGATTCAAGAAATGCCATCTAGAAATCGGCATTTATGGTGGTCCTCATCTGAATGGAACAGTAACTTATGTGGATATTGTCAAAGTGTTTAAAGACTATTTTGAGAATTAAGTTTACATTTTACAATTGCTTTATTTTTTATGAAGATAGCTGTATATAAATATTACCCTATTTCACTGTTATTAAAGAAAACCTCACCCTTGTAGACAAGTGGGTCGCCTGATGTGTACAGAAGCTGTGATATACATAGTACATTTCTCTATTATGTAAATGTTCATGAACATAACTGTTCCTGTGTTTTTATAAGTTGAGGGTATTTTGTTGTTTCATGACAACAAAAATTATTGCATTTAAAATGGTTTTTATGTAATAGAAATCATGAAAAATAGTGAAGGATTTAAAATATGTATATGGTATATGTTAAATGTACAAACTTTAGAAAGAAATAAATCCAACAAATTTCAATCATTTGGGGGAATGTTTTCCTTTGCCTTTTGGTGCAACTAGAATAATATCTTTAAAACTAAATAACACAACACCCTAACCCCCCTCCATGAAAAGGCAACCAGGAGACCCAAGATGAAGGATTTGCCTGCTGTAACCGACTGAGGTGAAGAAGTTAACTTGTGAACACTGATTCACCTCCTGGATTTCCGTGAAGATTTGTGTGTGGGGAAAAAAAATTGTTGGTAGGTAGTAGTAGAGACTTCAGAGCTTTGTTGTCCCAATGGTGCGGAGGGGGGGAGCTTTGAGCAGAGGAAGAACAAATGAACTTTTTGAAGCAATTTCAAGAATCATTTGCTTTCCCTTTACTTCTCATCAAAGCAAGGGGACCATGGAATTAACTATTGTCCTGCAGTGCAAATGCTGATCTCCAAATCACTGCTTTCTGTGGCTAGTGTGTACCTTTGTGTTCTCTTACTGGAACCTAGTGTTAAATTAAGATCTGTTGACTTGGAAAATGAAAAATAAAATTCCACCTGAACTTCTGAATACTGGAAATGTCTTATGTTTGGGGGTTTTGTCTTGTTTGTTTGTTTTTGCGATGCTAGGAATTGAAATCAGGGCCTCACACATGCTAGACAAGTGCTCTACCAGTGAGTTATCACCCCAGCCCTGGGTTTGGGCTTTTGGAAATGACATCTCTAATAAAATCCTCTTAAACCTAAATGAAGGTGGTGCCTGGCAGAAAACTGCTGTGATACATACCTGAGAAGCCAAAGTTATGTGGGATGTATAAACCCTTCAATACCCCCTGGCTTCTCTTTTAACTCCCTGTTTAAGACATGAAACTCAAATGTGAACCTTTCATTGCCGGGTCGCCTGTCCTCCAGAACTAGTTTGGTGTGTTGTGTCACATTCTCCGTGTTGCTAATAGTATTAGAAGCAGCGGGACCGTAGAGATCATTTTTAAAGAGAAACACTCCTATGAGGAAACTAAAACCAAGGGCCAATTAAGATATTATAAGGAAGCAAAGAGCAAGTTGAATTGTTTCATCTCTAGATTAATTCTATTTGACAATACTGGGAGATTCACCAATGAGACTATTGAATCACGGTCAAGGGTTCTTAAAAATTTATTTCAACCAAGAATAACATCAAGTTGGTTGAGAACAAAGAAAATAACATTTATCTGGGGTTAATAGGATTATAATCCAGATGAAGAAAAATACAGATTCAAGCAGTCTTAAAAATGTGCTCCAATGTTTTACAAAATGACAGCTGTTATTTATAGCTCTAAATTACAAGGCTTGGGAATGACGTCACTTGTTAGGGATGTACCTCAAGGTCGGCTTGTACCTGAAGATGGGTGTCATCTTTGGCCTGGTTCACAAGTGTCTGAGATCTGATTCACAGCAACATCCTAACTCCATTGTGAGGGCTCCCAAACCATGCTAATCCATTTTTATTTCTTTCTTGACAATGATAACAGAAAATACTTGAGACAGGGATGCAAAAAGAGAAGAGTGACTTTTCTGTGCTGTGAACCAGTGGGCTTGATATTAATTCTGAGCATTTTGGGGGAGTAAATAAGAAGGGAAGCAGCAATTACTGGAAACCAGCAAGGATTTCCAAGAAATTATTTCAGACTCCATTCATTTTCTGTTTTGTAAAACTAACTGGTAGATTAGGATAATGCAGTAGAAAAGCTGTGCTGGCCTTCACAAGGAACTGACCATGGTCTTTGATCCAGTATATCTGGGCAAAATGAAGAGAAGTGTGATCTGGACGTTCCTACAGTTGGTGGGCGTGTAGCCACTGAATAGCACTAATTAAAGGAAACACACCAACCTGGAAGAGCAGTTCTAGTGTCCTGTGGCAGAGCTTGCCTTTGGCCCCATCTGTTCAACATTTTAATTAAAAATGACAGAAGCTACAGAAGGCGAGTTTATGAAAAATGGATATGCCGCAAAACTGGGAGAGAATGACTGCTAAATGGCAGAATCAGGATTCCATAGATAGATATATCTCTGTCTATTTAGATCATCAGGCAGAGGAATGGGACAAGTTAACCATGTGAAATAGAAGAGGTGGTAATAATACCTTACATGTCAGATTAAAAAAACAATTACACAAGGTCAAGGGAGGACCTTGGGTGGTGTAGCACACCCAGCCTGTGAGAAAGAAGGCCTCCAGTTTCATAGGGAACTCAATGAAGTCAACAGGATGATGCAGCCACCAAAAGCACTGTTCCATTTCGGGCTACATTAATGTGCTGCATTTCTAAAGCAAGGACGGTGACTAATACACCAGGTGGCACCAATGAGGCTGACCCTGGAGAAGGTGCAACTTGGCATCATCACAAACCAAGGTGTGCAAAAGCAGGAGCCAGGGCAGCCGCACAACATGTGTGAACAATGGAATCAGGTGAACTCAGAAAGTGTGTGAACTGCCGAAGTTCAGTTCATGACCGAGCCAGCAATGACTGGTGTTAAATGTTTAAATATATCTTCATTGGGAGGGAAATGAGAACTGCCCTGCATCAATGTAAGAAAGTTTAACTCAGATTGATTCGTGGAATCTACAAGAAAGAAATGCAGCTCAGAGGAAGATTTTCCAGAATTGGAGGTGATGAATTAGTGAATTAGTGTAATGATGATTGACGTTAGTGAACATACTTATCGAGAAGTTAGGTGCCTGGCACCGTGCTAAACACTTAGCACGGATTCCATTTTACACCACTTTTTGCATAATTCCACGATGCAGTCCTATCATTTTCTTAATTTTAGAGTTGAAGGAAAACTCAGCAGGCTGCCTGTCCTCAGATGTTCTGCATCACAGCTTCTATTTTGAGTTAAGAAGTCAGAGATCTGACCACTACCTTTCTTAGATGCCTAAGATCTGAGGATCAGTGACTACATCAACAGGTGTATTAGTTTCTTTCCTGTTACTGGGACAAAATACCCAACACCTGCGACTTAAAGGAGGCAGGGCTTCTGCTGGTTCACAGTTTCTAGTGGTCCATCATTGGCTGGCGACAAGGCAGGAGCTGCGAAGCAGAGGGTGTGGTGCGGGAGAGTTGCACACTCAGCCAGCAAGCACAGGGCGAAGGGAAGAATGGCAGACAAATTCACCAATGAGAACAGTCGCGATCCAGTCGCCTTCCAAACACGTGAGCCTTGCGGGGAGGCATTTTTGGATCTAAACCATGACAGCAGAAAGAATGTATGTGTTTCTCAGCAGGAACTGGCAGCAAAAATAGCTGCTTTCACTCCATGTTAGAGTCATGTGGATTTAAAAAACCCAAGTACAGTAAGTGCCTGGGTCTCACCCAAGAAACTCTGAAGAGCATCTGAGGTGCTGGGAATCTGAAAAGCTTCCCCTGTGATTGTAATTGCAGCCAGGCTCCTGCTTGAAGCCTGGCAGCATGGTTTGCTCCTGTCACATCTCCTGGGAGCTGGTGAGCAAAGGAGACTCTCAGGCCTCCTCCCAGACACAGCAAGTGCATGGATTCTGCACAGTGCCCAGATCCCTGGATGGTTTAAATGCATCAAAGCCTGAGAAGCACAGCTTTGGTGCTGTTCCCAGGAGGTGCTCCCTGGAGTGGCAGAAGCAGCATCTCCTGAGAATTAAGAAATGCAGTGCTCTGTCCTGCCCTAGACTGGGGAGTGTGACAGACAACAGTGCCCAGCCCTCCATGTGATACCGAAGGCTAAGCAGTTAGATCCAGTGCTTCAGGGTGACTCACATGGTTACAGAAGCCCTTGTGCACACAAAGGGCAACGTGGTGTTTCCTGGCATTTCCGTGCCAGTTGCATTGCTGCCCACTGTCACTTGCACCTGTCCTGGTGATAAAGAGGACCAGATCATCACCGCAGTGAAATGCAATCACAGTGGTCCTGCTGCAGCGACCAGAGGACTGCCTTACCGGCAGGAGTGACGGGGTAAGTCTCAGCTCGTGCGTGTGTGTGTGTGTGTGTGGGTGTGTGTGAGTGAGTGACTGAAGATTAATCCCATTGCCTTCTCACTAAACTATATCCCCAGCCCTATTTTATTTTGAGACAGGGTCATGCTAAATCATTAAGACTTTCAGGGTAAGCTTGAACATGGAATCTTCCTGCCTTGCCTTCCAGAGTGCTAAGGTTGCAGGTGTAGGCCACCACATCATGGGGCAGCTCACCCTCCTGTAAGTAGGCCACCTCCCTCCACACCCCCGGGCGCTTGGCTCAGGCTGGACCCCCTGAAATGGCTCCTCCTCGCCAATCCAAGTTCCTACCCTTGCCTACAGGACGAACTGCTCTGCTTTTTCTAGGCGACCTTTCCCAGCTACTTGGAGTTGTTCTCTCCTAAACACACAAGGGACCTCATCCAGCCACACTGCCAAAATGTGCAAGAGGCAATCATTGCCTGCAAGTGTGTGTCTGGGCTACTGTCACCCAGTGGACTCAGTAATAACATTGTAATAAAATACAGTATTTTATTACAGGTTACATTTGAGTTTCAGATAAAACAATAATTTTAGTGTATATACCATGTAATATATGGAGCAAACTTACACTGAAAAAAGTAACTCAGTATTTACTGTTTACCTGGAATTGAAATATAACTATACATCCTGTGTTTTATCTCACCCCCTTCTCTGTAAGTATCCTAGGATCGCACTTCCTCATGAATTTACCCCTTCTCAGTCAGAAAGGGCATACCGCCAGTACCTTTGTGTTAATCAGACTTATGGGAGCTTGTTCAACTTCTTCTGTTCTTATTCAAACTCAGAAGGGATCAAATGCCAATAATAAAAATCAAATCTTCCAGTGGCCTCAACATGTTGTGGTCACAAATATGTTGTCCTTTTTGTAGGTCTCCAGAGGAAGTGAAATTATAATGTTTCTTAGACCCTAAAGGGCAGAAAGTGTGTCTCGTTCAATGTAGTGCAAAGTACTGCACCGTGGACCAGGTATCCCGAGTAGCCATTCAGTAAATGTGTGCTGGGTAGAATCAAAATAAGAGGCTTTGGTGATGCTGTGCTGTGTCCTTCCCTAGGATTACTTGCAGGTCTTTTCCTCTAGTGTAGAAGTCAAATTTCAAATTGTCAGTGAGAGGATCTTATGCCAGGCAGCCCCAATCTGTACTCAGCCTGCCCTATACTTTCTGATTGACAATATCAGCGAGCACAGCAGATAAGAACAAGGATTCTGGAGTCTGGATGAGCTGTCTTTCTCTCCCTATGCTGCCACTTACTGGCTGGGTGATGTCGAGATACCACATAATCTCTGTATCTGTTCCCACATGTAAAGAGTAATGGAAATGAATTTGCAGAGTTACGAGACTTAGGTGACAGTGTGGGCACAGACTGGTCCCTGTGGGACAGTGCATTAGAAAATGATATAGCAAAGGATGGCACTTTGACCTGCTGAAGCGAAGGCCGCTGGAAGAACCTCAGAAGCAAAGACTCTTCCTGACCACCTCCTGCTCTGCTTCCTGCCCCAAGGCAGGCCATAGAAACTGGGATTCTTTTTCCCTAAGATGCTCACAGAAAGTAGAATCCCTCTCGC